AAGAGAGTGTTGGTTCTCCTGGGACTAGAGTTGCAGATGTTGTGAGCTGTCATATGTGGTAAAATAAAATACAAATATTTGTATATACTTTTACTTTTATCTGTGTAATTACTCTTTTACTAGTTCTCTATTTCATGTAGATCTGAGTTACTCCCTTAGTTTTCTTTATATCAACCTGAAGGGAACCTTAAGGAATTTTAGAACATATTTTCTGGTGATACATTTTCTCAGTCTTTACCTAGGGATGTCTTGAGGTCTCCCCTTTCAGGGTTTTGTTTGGAGACAGAGTCTCACCATGTAGGCCCTACTGTCCCAGAACTCACTAAGTAGACCAGACTGGCTTTGAACATCCAAATATTCACCTGCCCTTTTCTCCTCAGTGCTGGAATCAAAGGTGTGTGCCATCTTTATTAGTGTCTGGCTTTAGATGTACCTTCCTCCAGGTTTCCCCCAAACTTGCTATCTAGTCCAAATTTATGGTCTTCTTGCCTTAGTCTCATCATTGTGGGGATTACAGCAATGCACCTTATCTCCTTCGTTTTAATAGGCAGTTTTTCTGGGTATAGAATTTCTCTCCCAACACTTGGATTATATCATGAGTGCTTTCTGATTGTATGGCTTCTGATTACAATCAGCTCCAAGCCTTACTGAAGTTAGAAGTGATCTGCCCAGGTCTTTTCATTGTTCCACTCACCCTCCCACCTGGGGTTACTCTTCTAGTGCTGGGATTGAACAAGGCCTTTCACATTCCAGGCAAGCACTCACCATTGATCTCCATCCCTCAACTTTTGGGTATACATATTAATGTTCTCTCATTAAATTTGGAGAGTTTTCAGTCATTCATCTTCCTTTTTTTCCATCTTCTTCTCCTTTCTTGTAGTGCTAGGGTATCCAACCCAGGACTTTGCACATTTCTTACCTTTTCTCTCCTGTTTCTATAACTTCTATTATTTATGTTTTGCTTGGTGGTGTTTCATAGGTCTTAAAGGCTTTCTTACTCTTTCTTTATTCTTCCTTTCTCTCGTTCTTCAAATTGGAATAATTTCATTGGCCTATTTTTAAGCATACTGATTTTTTTGTCTTTCTAATCTGTTAACATTCCAATCAAAATTTTCATTACAGATACTGTATTTTTCAACTCCCAAGATTTGATTTGTTGACTTAAAAACTTTTCTCCAGTAGCTGATCAGTATTTATCCCTAGTATATGAATGGACTTTGGGAGCCCATTCCACATAAAGGGACACTCTGTCAGCCTAGACACAAGGGGGAGGTCCTAGGGCCCTGCTCCAAGTGATATGACAGACTTTGAAGATCCCCCATGGAAGGCCTCACCCTCCCAGGGGAGCAGAAAGGGGATGGGATGGGGGGTTGGCGGGGGCAGGGGAGGAGGAGAAGGAGAAGGAGAGAGAACTGGGATTGACATGTAAAACAAGCTTGATTCTAATTTAAATAAGGAATAAGGAAAAAAGAAAAAAATACTAAATTTAAAAAAAAAAGAAAAACCCTTTTCTCTTTCTGTATTTTACTTTTCTATTCTCCTTATTCTTCCTCTCTCTCTCTCTCTCTCTCTCTCTCTCTCTCTCTCTCTCTCCTGTGTGTGTGTGTGTGTGTGTGTGTACTTTACTTTCTTATTTGCATGAGTGTTTTGCTTGAATGTATGATTGCACACCACATTCATGCAGTGCCTGAGGAGGTCAGAAGAGGGCCCACGATCACCCATAACTGAAGCTACAGTTGTGAGAGAGGGCACTGTATAACAGACTGCCGCTGTGGAGGGGCAGTGCTCAGGGGCAGAAGACTAGAGGGGTTGAAGAGAAGCATCACAGAGAGGGGCAGCTTTCAGTTTCCTCTTTAGAAGGATATTGGAGATTTGGAAATCCACTCATAGTCCAAAGAGGCCAAGAAAAAGTGAGGTCTAAGGAGATCTAAGGAGGTCCAAGTCACCATCAGATGTCCTGACAGCCAGTGAGCTGAGAGGTATCCAGGAAACTAAATGGTTGAGTGTTGAGTGACTCCAGTGACTAAGATGGTTCAAGATTCAGGCAAGCCAAGTCTAAAAACATAGTATTTTCTTTTTAAAAAGTTTTCAAAGATTTATTTATTATGTAAATGATGTTCTGCCTGCATGCCTGCACACCCAAAAGAAGGCACCCAGATCTCATTATAGGTGGTTGTGAGCTACCATGTGGTTGCTGGGAATTGAACTCAGGTCCTCTGGAAGAAGAGCTGGTGCTCTTAATCTGTGAGCCATCTCTCCAGTCCTTAAAAACATTATTGTCATAAAAAATAGACAAATGATTGCCATAGTTATCATTACGGAATTTCCCTCTCTCTCTCTCTCTCTCTCTCTCTCTCACATACACACACACATACACACACATTAAAAACTTGGCCAAGTGAGAAAATCCAATAGCCATCCAGCAAACACTCCCCTAGTTTCTTTACTTTCATAAAGTTCTGCCCTATATTCCTCTCTCTTTTCCTTTTTCCTCTCTCTCTTTTTTCGTGTGTGTGTGTATGTATGTATGTATGTATGTATGTACACATTCCAGTGGAAGCTTATCTTGCCTCAGCATGGTTTCTAGGATTGCAGGGTCCCATAAGAGTGTGTTCAGTCGGAGCTGGAGTGATGGCTCAGTGATGGCTCAGTTAAGAGCATTGGCTGCTCTTCCAGAGGTCCTGAGTTCAATTCCCAGCAACCACATGGTGGCTCACAACCATCTGCAATGAGCTTTGGTGCCCTCTTCTGGCCTGGAAGAATACAGACAGAATACTATAAAAAAATTAAAAAAAAAAAAAAAAAAAAAAAAAAGAGAGTTCAGTCAAAACATGAAGACAGGACAAATTTCTAGGTCCCGGGTTCACAGAGGGACCAGAAGGAGAATTCTGGTCCAGGATGTCCAGATCCTGAAATTTTAGGTAGTCAGGGAAGACACAAGATAATATTTAGCCTCAAATGTGTGAGACCACTCTAGAATTCCTAGTGCAGGAGAGAATGGAGTAGGATTATGCAGAGTGGGATTCACCCTACCCATAATAGACATCTTTGTGGTCCAGATACCCTGGTTTGGTGAGTTGGAGGAAGAGCCTCCCACAGGAGCCTCCAAGATGAATAGTGAGTCAGAAAGGTCCAGAGAAGCCCAGTGTCCACCTGTGGGGGACCAAGACCCACAGAAGACAGCCATCTTTGTGGTACTTGGGACAGTGGTCTTGTTAGTTTTGGGCCTGTCTCCGGCAGTGTGGCTGGCTAACTTGAAGGTGGCCATTCCTGTAACCACAGGGGTTCCTTCCTACCCAGACCCAAGTAGAAAAGGCAGTGGCCTTTATGCAGTGTTAACTAGGCCCTGAGAGAGTTGTTTAACAGGGACAGGCACACAGGTACCAGGACAGATAACCTTAGAAAATGATGTGAATCAAGGAGCAACTATGTTTAGTGCCCTTCTGGAAACCCAGATCCCCAGCCAGGCCCTTCCAGCATTCTCTAGCTACATTTTTTTTTTTTTTTGGTGGACAAACTTAAAAAAATAGTTTTATTATTTTTAATTAATTGTGTGTGCATGTGTGTATGCATGTGTACACACGTGCATGAGTGTAGGTTCCAGAGGAGGCCAGGGTTGTAAGGTTCCCCTGAACAGCTGTAAGCTGCCTGATGTGTGTCCTGGGGACTGAACTTGGCTCCTCTGTAAGAACAGGAAGTGCTCTTAGATGCTGAGCCATTCCTCCAGCATACTTGCTGGCTAAACTGTGTCTTTGGGAGTGTGACTATTCTCATCAGTCAGAAAGTTCTCCATCCCTTCCAAGGAATAAAATGTCTCTGATTCAAAGAGGATGTTTAGGCAAGTCTGTTAGAGCTCATGTTGACACAGCTTCTGAGAACAGGCTCTGTTTCTCACAGCAAAGGGTATCTTCTTCTCCGCACATAGCTTGGATATGGCTTCTAGCTTTGTTGTTTGGGGTATATGTTCTGGAATTCCAAAAAGTCAGCACTTATAGGAAGGAGGGGCTGGCTTTAGCTTATACTGAGGTTGCTTGGCTTTTCTGGGGGTTATCAGGGCTCTGGAAGGAGGCTAGCAGTGACACTGTGTTCCTGCTTGCACCCCAGGGGCCCTGCTCCTGCTCAGAGGCCATATTTTTAAAATACTTTATTTTTTTCATAATACTGTCATTACAAAAAAATACAAAAAACTACTATAAAAACATTCAGGGGCTTGTCAAAGTGAGAAAACCTAAAGACCCCACCCCAGGACCAGCTGAAGTAGTCTTCTCCCAGCTCCTTCACTATTTGACTTCTATACAACTGTGGGAGAGGGGGTGGGGGTCACACAGGCAGAGAGGGGCTGAAAACTTCTGACACAGCCTCCAAGAAAGGTAGGAAATAAGTAGCTTCACATATCACAAAGTGGGGTTTGGAAGTTTGGGGTGGCTAGGCCCTGAGTTCAGAGATGTGGGGGAGAAACTCAGACCCTGAATCTCTTGGGGGGGATAGCTGCCACCTGACCCCAAAGCCCTTGTCCTTCCTGATGATGCCTGGGCGAAGGGTCCTGCCCCACCTCTTAACTATAATGCTTCAGCCCCCTTTTTTCTCCACCCTTGAACACTCCTTAGAGCAGCTGCGCGGGGGGGGCAGACCCTACAACTCTGCAGGGTATAGGCAGGGGCAGCTGTTGGGGAGGGCTCCTGAGCGTGAGGTTCACCTCCCTGCCCCCAAGTGAAAAGTGTCTCGTGCTCAATGAATGGCCTTGTTCACAGGTAACGGACCTTCCCTTCCTATGTCCTCTCCTCTCGTCTCCTAGAGAGACACACAGACCACTTTAGCAGAGTGCATCATGTGCATGAATACTTGTGGGATAGCCCTGGACACTAAAGACCTGGGGGGAGGGGTGTCCTTTCTGTCCTCTTTTTCCAGAAACAGGAGGAAGCCAAAGGGAAGGGAGAGGAAGGTGTTAGCAAGGCTGAGAGGGGAGGAGACATGCTATTTACAGGCGTGGACAAGGAATCTATATCTTCAAGTAGCACTCAAGTCACTCTCCAGCCACTGGAGTAGGGACTGGATTCAAAGCTAGTGACAGAAAATTGACCCCTGGCCTGGGCTAGCTCTCCCCACCTCCCTCCCATTCCCCCAAAGCGGCCCAGCTCTGAAAGGGGTTGGGGACAGGAACATTTTCCTGACAATCAGTGGCTTTTTTGCATTTTAGAAAAGTGCCAGTGTCCCATGGACACCCAGCCAGGTCCACATGAGATGGGGTGTGTGTGGGGGTATTGCTGTGGTAGGCTCCAGACTCGCCAGGGCAGTCTAGGAGCAGGGTAGGTGCTGCTTAAGAATCTGCCGTGTCTGTGGTGTTAATCTGTCTGGGAATCGAACTTTGAACTCAACAATGAGGTCTCCCCGCTGAGTGGGCACCTTGGGGAAGGGGAGACCCTCCCCACGGAGTCTCTTCACGGTGCCTGGCTTGATTACATCATTGCAGGGCAAAGGGATCACTCGGCCATCAATGGTGGGAATGTTCACAGTGCAGCCACACAGCGCCTGGGGAAAATAAGGCAGAGAGTGAGGAAAAGGGAGGCAGAGAGAGTGGAGAGAAACGAAAATAGATGTGCACAGTCATTGGGTGGAGTGGGGTGGTGGATGGATGGGTCAAAAAGGAAAGAAGATGCTTCCTATCAGACAGACAGACAATCACACATGCCTACCTCCTTGAGGCTGATCAGTGCACTGTAGAGCACATTGGTGCCATCTCGGCGGAAGTGTGCATGAGGCTTGTCTTTGAGCACGAAGACAATGTCGGCTGGGATGTTGTCAGGTGTGGCATCGCCTCTTTGGGGAAGGTGATCTTGGTACCTTCCTTCCAGCCACGCTTAATGACGATGTGCAGAATTTTGTCCTCAGTGCGCACAGTTCGCCCATCAGGGTTGAGGCGCCGTCTTGTGATCTTCATGCGCTTAGTAGAGCCGTGGTAGATCTCCTCCAGGGACACCCGAAGCTCGTGCACCACAGGGGGGTCCTGCACCTTGCGTCGGGGGTATAGTGGTTCTGGGGCTCGCCTCGGACCCCTACTCAGCCCATTGAAGCCAAAGCGGCCAAAGGCACCAAATGGGTCCTCATCTTCATCCACATCCATGTCATCTGGGTCAAAGCCACTGAAGGGCCGAGTGGAGCGGCTGCTGGCAAAGAAGATATCGAAGGGGTTGGAGCCACCAAAGAAGGAAGCAAAGGTGGCATGAGGGTCCCCATGAAAGGTGTAGTGAAAGGAGCCACTGGAACCACCTGCCGTGCCACCGCCGGTCTTGAGGCCTAAAGGGGAGGAGAAGTTAGGGGCAGTGTGGCCCATCATGGCCCCCTCCCAGTCTCTTTCCCCTGCCCACTAAGTTGTCAGTTCATGGACCTAGATAAAGAAGCAATCTTTAATTCCCACAGAGAGGGCTAGACTAATAGAGTAAGAAAAGTTTTGAACAGATTAATATCCACGCAATTAACTACATATTTAGGAATGTGTATCTGGGCATGGTGGTGCATGTCTGTAATCTCAATACTCAAAAGACTGGGAAGGTGACTGAGAGTTCCAGGCTAGTCTGGGCTGTGTAGTGAGACCTTGTTTCAAAACACAAACCCAAAGAACCTGCATCTTCAGATTCCATCAAGCTAGTTAACCAATGAGTGGAAAAGCTAGGACTAGGGGACTTAGTAGATGGCTTCTGTTATATAATTATTCCCACTTAATCAGTCCAAACATGCCTCATAAAAGCTAGGGCAGCTGGCCTCGTATCACATGACAGGCTATACCTGACCCCAAATCTCTGTTTACTTCCCAAGATACACGGGGCTAGAGACAAACAGATAGGGTTTGGCCATAGAGGGGCTAGTAAGTGACCTGTCCTAAATAAAGTGCAAACACAATCTAGGAGAAAACAGCTTTCATTCTGCTTCATCTTCCCAAACTTCTGCTCCAACAGGAAATCAAGAGGCCTCAAAAAACAAGAAAGCTCACTGACATGGAAATGAGGAACTGTTTTCCTAGAAAAAAAATTAAATTACTTTATTTCCATACCCTGACCCTGTGTTACACAGCTTCAGGGACTGTCATTCACACAGCGTACAGACGCAGACTACAATGGACCAGCCCTGCAGCATTCCCCATCCAATGTGGAGCAACTATTACACATCAATGGGCTGGCACCATGTAAGGGATGACTCCAGAGATTCTCTCTCTGGAGTTGGATCTTGTCTAAGGGACTCAGGTTTCTGGATGGTGCTTTCATGGTAGGTGTGTGATGGAATATTGGGAAATATGGGGGAGGGAATTAACACAGACTGATACAAAATATATAGATTCACAGATGGGAATCAGGCCAGGGGAAGGCCCCTCTCATTGAAACTTACTTATTTGTTTATTTAATGCTTTTGGTAACCTAAGGCTTTGTACACTTTGGGCAAGCACTCTAGCATTAGGCTGTATTCTTAGTCCTCTTTGAGGCCTTTTATCTACAATTTCAATTGGCCTTGGGAACCTGGGCCTAAATTATCCTCATATTTCATGGGACCACATGGACAGGTTTGGGTTTCATTAGAAAGGGCAAGTAAGTAGTAGGCATTCAGTGTCTTGTGGCAGCTGCTGCTTAATGCTTAACCTCTCCCCTAAGGGGTCTGTTCTTTCTTCCTGTTGAAGGGCTAGCTATGAAGCAAATTTAAGTTGGGCAGGGCTGGCAATGGTGGCAAACATTTTTAATCCCAGCACTTGGGAGGCAGAGGCAGACAGATCTTTGTGAGTTTGAGATCAGCCTGGTCTACAGAGGGAGTGCCAGACAGGCTCCAAAGCTACACAGAGAAACCCTGTCAGCCTGTCTCAAAAACAAACAAACAAACAAACAAACAAAAACCCAGATGTGTGTGTGTGTGTGTGTGTGTGTGTGAGAGAGAGAGAGAGAGAGAGAGAGAGAGAGAGAGAGAGAGAGAGAGAGAGAGAGAGACAGGCAAAGCTTGGTGAGAAAGCAGGAGAATGAACTGATGACAAGAGGGGATAATTCTCACTGTGGGGTTCCTGTTCTACCACCCCACCCCTCCCCACTTCAAGCAGAGAACAACTTGTGCCAAGCCCGAGCTTCATACAGATTCTGTGCACAATTGTTCTGCCTGGCTGTTGAAGAAGAAGCAGGGTAGACAGAAATAGAACTGACTTTCCAAGGCTGTTACTCCCTCCTCCAACCCAGAGGTCTTCCCAGGGGCTACTGTGCATGTGATCTACACCAGGACCCAGGAGCTGCCTAGGGTCTGGGTCTAGGTGTTGCCTTCACTTGGGTTTGGTCATGTATGAGGTGGGGGAGGAAGTTTCTTCTTCAACTCCTTTCCTAAACAAAGGTTAGGCTAAGTTCAGCATTGAATGCAATTCTGAGAAAGACCACACGGCGGCATGGTGCCTGCACTGCCTCCCTTCTTTCCCTACTCCCATCACTTCCCATCCTCCCTCCTTAGCTGCGAGAATGCCTGGGATTAGAGCAGGTGCCTGGGCTCTGAGAACTGGCAAGTCTAAGAATGATCAGGGAAAAATGGAATGAGCTCACAGCATGGAGACTGAAAAGAGGGGGGCTGGGAAGACGGGGTACAGGTAAGAGAATGGCAGAGATGAACAACAAAATGAAGAGGGGCTGGGAGGAAATGCTCTTGAGCACCTGCTTTTAATCAGGCACAGTACATGCCATTAGCCCATTTCATTCTGAGCACAGGCTGGGGAAGGTGAAGAGGAGGACAGTGTGAAAGAATGGTGGATGTCGTTAGGAGGAAGGGCAGGTCTTCCCAGAAAGGAGAGTCCTCAGCTGTGACAATGTCTCTTAATATAGCCTGACAGGTGCCTGTGGCTGGCGGGTGGCAGGCAGGCCCCGAGGGGCAGGCCCAGAATTAGCAGCTACATCATGCCTGTGGGATGTGCTGGGAGGAGCCAGGCTCTTAGAGGCTTTATTTGGGCCTTTCCTGCTGCCTGCCCTGTGCATGTCCACCAACTGCCCTGGGGAAGGGATATGATGCCAACAACATCTCCCTTTCCACTCCTGGATCCCTGCCACTTCCTCTGGGAGGCAAATCTCTGTTCTGCTGGCCTGAAGTGGCTAGGGATTGGGGGACAGTGGCAACAGCCATCTCCACTCAGAACTCTAGTGGTTAATTCCCTGGCTGTTCAAGGGCCAGACTTTTATGCTGATGACTGTAAATGCCATCCTCACAGAGTCACAGACTCACTCTCCCCAACCTTTCAGATCAGCCAATGAAGCAGCAGAGACTTCAGGCAGGACTAATAAGGCTGGGAAGGAAAGGGAGGGGGGCACTCTGGCCCAGACTCCAAACTCTAGGGCCAGAAGGGGACTAGGGAGGGGGAAGAGAGAGGGATAGGGAGGAGAGTGAGCTGAGACCAGGTAGTGAGTGAGTAGCTACTCTAAGGCAACCTTCCTCCTTCAACCCCGCTATGAACCCAGGGCTCCAGAGAAACTCAGGGGTCCAGGTTTGGGTCCATACCACCGTCTTACCTTCCTCCCCATACTGGTCATACAGGCTCCGTTTCTTAGGGTCACTCAGCACGTCATAGGCCTCAGCAATCTCCTTAAACTTCTCCTCAGCGTTGGGTTCTTTGTTCTTGTCTGGGTGGTATTTCAAGGCCATTTTCCGATAGGCTTTCTTGATCTCATCCTCATTGGCCCCTGATGGGATTCCGAGAATCTTGTAATAATCTTTTCCCATCACAGCCACTGGACCGGTGCTGGGCTCCTTGTTTCTGCAAGAACCCAGGGCCAATCTTAGGTACCCTGTTCTCTACAGCCCAGCCCCCTCCTGCTGATCCTGTAGCCCTTAAATGACTCCCTGTGTGACCTTCAATAGGTCATGCCTGTTCTCTGGGTCTCTGTGTCCCATCTGTAAAGTGAAAGTTTTGGACTAGATGATGTCTTCCAGTTCTGACATGCTAGGATTCGGTGATTCCTTTCTTCGCTTCTGGATGAAGATTGTGGCCCACTTCTTGGGACTAGGGCTGAGTCCCGAGCCCTTGGGCCAGCCTGAGGACCCCTGAGAGACCTTTCTGAATGAGATGGCACTGTGAACTGACAGACTCTCACAGAAGCTGTCGAAGGTCAGTGCACTGAGTGAGGTCACCTGAGCTTTGTAGTCTCTCCTACGCCACACCTCAGGCATGGTGCCCGGGCTGAGGACAGCTGGGGCAGTAGCCCAGGACCAGCTGAATCAGGGTATGGGAATTGGGAGTCTTTTCTGCCACTGGGGACCCCAGATCCCTCTGCCCCCCCCAACTATGCTAAGCTTCACATGTGACTCAGATCACAGAGTGACTCACAGCTTTGGGAACTTCTGTTTCTCACACCCTCATTAGCAAGGGGGGGGGACACTGTCTATCCCCCAACCAGGGTAACAGTTGCCTTTGCTTGTTTCCCAGTATCTACACACTGAAGTGTGAATACATGTCTATGCTGCCTACAAGTGCCGATGGTAGTGAACAAAAGCACCGGAGATAAGGCTTTCTTAAGCCTAGGTGTCAGGAGACAGGCGGACACTAACCACCATGTCCTAAATACCTTTGCTGCAAGCCCCTCCTCTATCTGCCCCTACGGTTTAGGATCTGAATCCGTGCTAGGCTTATACTCCTCCAATTACTCCTTCTAAGTGGGGTTCAAGGACATCAGCGTGGGGCTCTGATTCTTCCACTCTAACCTGCATTCATCAGTGGATCTGTGGATGATATGAAGAGAGGGGACTTGAGGGAGTGGCTAGATGCAGTCCTCTGGCCTGTTTGAGGTGCAGCCAACCCTTGTCAAAACAGAGAGAACCAGAGTTTTCTAGCAATGTTCTGGCAGCCACAGCTGAGGCCTTTTTTCTGCTCGAGTACTTCACAGTAGTGAGATGGACAAGATGTCCTAGCAGAAGAGCTGTGACAGTTAGGAAAAGCTCTGGTGTCCCCAGGTAGGCAAAGAGAATGACCTTAGCCCTGCCCCTACAGAGCCTGCTGCAGGTGGCTAGGTTGACTCATGGTACTGGGAGTCACCTCCTTCTGACAAAGAGAAGGCACCACCATAAAGGCGGGTACTCCCCCATTTCCCCACACCAGCATGTCACGTCTGTGGGGGAGACTGGCGTTGGGGGAGGCAGAGAAGAAAGAGCATCTGGGGGAGGGCAGCCATTTTCGGAAGCGGCATTAAAAGCAGTTTGAGAGGGAGATGGGGTGGTCTGCCATCTTTGCCTCAGCCCACACTTTCTTTACCCCAGGATTGAAGGAAACCTAGGACAGCAACAGGGCGACAGGGAACTCCAGCAGAGGACAGAGGGCAAGTGGCATGGCTTACCAGCCCACCCACCTTGTTGTGGTCCCTTCATTAACTCTTTACCACCTGCCACCTTCCTCTCTGGCACCCACCTGCTAGCTATTCTCCACCCACAATTCTCTTGCCTCCATAGACACAGGGCGAACTCTCAGGACCTGCCTCCTTTCCCACCTCTCTACCCTCCCTTCCCTCTCCCTCCCCACAAGCCACGTGGCAGAGTGACAAAGGAGCCCCATGGCATGGCTCTGCCTTTGATGAGGAATGAGGAATGTGTTAAGGGAGAGCTAGGGAATTAAATAAAAAAAAGGAGAAGAAGAAATGAGGATAAATAGCAAAAGGGACTGTGGAGGACAGGGAGGAGAGAGGGTACTGACAGTGGGGTGTAAGAAATGACAAAAGCAAACGGCTGGAAGTGGAAAGCAGGTGACTGATGGCTTGAGAGGGAGAACCGAAGGACTGGAATACTGGAGATGTTTGTGGAAACAGAGTTTGTGGGAGATGAATGGTATGGGGTACAATTCATTCAAACATACAGGTGAAGTGAACGGATGAGATGAGGGTGCCAGGGAGGAGGGGGACAGTGCAGGGAATGGCTGATGTGGAGGATTTGACTCGGCATGGCTATGAGTGCCCTGCTCCGGAGGGACTTACCGAAACTTTACAAACCCATTCAGCGTCCACGCTCGAAGTTTTAAGGGTTCCAGCTGAATTTTAAACATCAAGCTGGCTAAGAAGTCTTCTCCCCAGAAGTGTGGGAAGCTCCGGAAAGCTCCTCGAGCCTGTAGTGGGGGTGCTGCTGGGGGTGGGCAGGAGAGCACTGTGCGCTTAAACATGCCCAGCCAAGCCCCTCACCTCTGATCGCTCCACCGGAGCCTGCTTGGGACGCTGTAGCTCTGGAAGCCACCTCCTCAGATTCTCAGAGGCCCTTGCCCAGCAAGGCCCGTCTCGTGCCGCAGAGGCTGGACCTGATCCCCGGGTGCCGAGTGAAGGGAGAGGGTCCAGCGGCCACCTGCTCTCAGGTACAGCAGTGTCTGGCTGAATGCGAGTGGCTGTATGTCTGTGTGACAGTGAGGATGGAAGTGACAGTATGTGCTTGCTGAGTGGCAGCGTGTGTACCTGTGACAGGTATGATAGTGAGGGCCTGAGAGGCTGTGAGCTCCTCTCGCCTCTCTGGGGAGGACCCAAGCCCAATCCCCAAGAAGCTACTCAATGAAGTCACTGACGGGGAGCCTCCTCCTCCGCAGATGGGCGGGGAGGGGCGGGGCAGAGCCGAGCCTGGCCGGGACAAAAGGCGCGGCAGGGAGAGGAAAGAAGGGGGTTCGCGCGGGGAGGGGGTCGGTGATGTCACCCCAGCTGGCTGGCTGGCCTGCTCAGAAACGCCTCCGCCCGGCGCAACCCAATCCGACCCGACCCAACCCGACCCTGGTCGCAGACACCCAGCACCTGGCAGACCCCGGGCTTCCAGGCCCCGCACCCCTATGACAGCGGAGGCTATGGACCCTCGGTGTCCCAACCCCCCACACCAGGACCTGTCTTCTCGACGCCCCACTCCCGGGACCCCCGAGTCCTCGCTCAGCGCCCTCACCGGTGAGGAGCTGCGGACGCCGCCGCGGTCCTTCAATCAGCCGCTGCCCCCTCCCCCCGGCTCCGGTTCCGCCGCCTCCACTCGGGACAGGAGTCGCCTGCCCGCCGGCCGCAGACAGCGGGACAGGGAGCCCGCCCCCCACGGCTCCGCCTCCGCGCTTCCCATTGTACTGTCTGCCCGTCACTCAGCTCAGACTCTGCTGTGATTGGACACCTCTCAACGAGCGTCCGGATGATAGCCACCCCCTTCTCCGCCCCTGTCACCCGGCCACACGCGCACACATTCGGGGCAGTGATTGGTGTGGGTGTGATTGGTGCCCTCCAGGATCAATCAACCACACCTCTTCTCCATCTCGTCGTGTCATTGGTGAAAAGGACAGAGGGAGGCAACTCCAGGCGCCCTTTGATTTTATTGGCTCGTCCCTGTGACTTCGACCCAAGCCTTTGGGCAACTACATTAGCCCAATCTCCAGAATGGAGATGAGACATGCTGGCCGCCGCTTGAGTCCAGGAAGAACCTTCTGGAACGAAAGGAACCTCAAAGACAACCTAATAGGAAAACTGCGCTCACCAGTTGGCGGTGACACCAGGAATTCTTTCTTTTCTTCATTTAGGAGAGTCGAAGTAGGTAGAAAATAGTGCACCGGGGGAGGTGTAGCCTCAGGACCATTGCCAAAAATGTCCCCTCTTCTTACCTGTCTTTTATCAAAGTGTGAGCCAACCTGACCTGACCTGGTTTAGCTTTACCGTATCTTGATCTGGGGTTGACCTGTCATGGCTTAACTGTTACACAAAACAGACCAGGATAGACCTGAGACGTGTCCTTGCCATCTCCACTCTTCACTAGTAACTGGTAACTACAGGAGTGACACCTTTCCGATTCCGTCCAACTCCTCTCCATTTTTTGCGTAGTCCTTTCACGATGGCTGCTGGCTGGCTTGGGAGCAGCCGTTTCTCAGCCACTTGGGGGTTCACAGAGCCCAGTTGAGACCCCTTACTACCAACCTTTCATCTTTTTTTGTAAATCCTTTTTCCTTAGCCCCATGAAATCCAGCCTTTCCTCACCCCAGGATTCAGTCTTGTTCTGTATTTTTCTTTTCTCTTTCTTTTTTTCTATTGTCTTACTCGTAATTCTCCCTATTTACGTGGTCTGCAATATCACAGCTCATAGCTCTCCCTTCAACCCCCTACCTCAGCTTCTTACGGTCCTCTTCTTAACACCCTCATACACTGTCATCTCTGCCCCCAACCCCCAGTAAATCATTAAATCTCAGCCCCAGTGTCCCCGATATTCAGAGCAGGAGGGGCTGCGGAGGCGGTCGCCAGCGGAAGCCGCCGCTCCAGCAGACACCGAGCTTGGCGCCCACGTTACTGTCTCCCAGGCCCATCTGTGCTGGAGGGAGCGGGGGTGGGAGGGGGTAATCTGGGGGTGAAGAGGGGGAGGGGGTTCTTGGGAGATTTGATGACAAAGAAAAGGCCTTAGAAAATGCTCTCGCCCCATTCTTTGCCAGTTTCAAGAGACAGATTTAGATACCTACGAGGCCGTGCAAGCTGGATAGAACTGTGAACTGAGGCTTGGAGTACCTAGGTCCCAGATTAGGGCAGGAGAGGGGCCTGGAATTTGGAGAAAAGTCTACATATTCTAAACTCCCTGCCCCTTCCTGATGTGCCACATGTAAAGGAATTTGAGCTTAGAGTAAGAAGAGGAATTAGGGTGGAAGAGAGGAAGTGGGGTAGAGGAGTGATGAAGGGGGGGCATGGCGTGATCAGTATGGGAACTAACAGGTATCTGGCTGAAGGAGGTGGGTTGGGAACAGGAAAGGGCCCAGAAGGTAGGGTGGGAGGCAAAGAGGAAGTGAGGGGGTGAGATGGGCTAGGGTGGAGATTGTAGGAGCAACAAAATGGGACAGAGAGACCAGAGGAGGAAGGACGGGGAGGAAGGGATGAGGGAATGGAGCAGGGTGGCATGGATATGGGTGTGGGAAGAGGGGGCCTGGGAGTAGTACTGGCTCCTGTGATTTGGGGCTCTCACTATCCTTTCTCCTGATTTGAGGGGCCCCAGTTGTCAGTGGCTAGCCAAGCTTTTTTCTAATTCCAAATCTGCTCTTGCTGCTCCCGGCCTTGTCCATGCTATCACAGAGGTCGAGTTTAGTCACAGGCCTTTACCTGGTTCTGCCAATGCTAAACTGTGGGCATGGGCTTCAGGGACTCTAGGCTTGTGTCCTTAGAAGTGGGGCCCAAACTCCATTGTCTTCCTGGATCACTGCTGCTGCCTTCTGTCCTACTATCCAGGGCGCCAGAGCACAGCATAGACTGTAAGAATGTGAGGGCTGGGGTCAGGCAGCCTGTTGACCTTGAGGGGCCACTGCCACATCTGTGCCTCACTTGTTCACGGCAAACGGGCCAAGCAACAGCGGCAGCTCACAGGGCTGTTTTGAGGGTTAACTAAGGTGACACATGTAATGGTCTTCATTCTGAGCTTGGCATGTGACTATCAGTCAATCAAATGAACTCTTACTGTGTATTCAGGGCTAGCTGGGTGTGTGAGTGAAACTACACATGCATGTGTCTGATTGGGAGTTATTTACTGTTGTAATCAGGATTCCGTTTGTAAGGGTGTATCTGCACAATTATTTTTGTGTGTAGTATGCCTGATTCTGTACTTGCTATAGATATGTGATTTTGTATCAGCACACATGTATGATTAAATAAATGGCTGTATAGGCATGTGACTACATCACGAATAGTGAGGGATGTGGCTATTGACAACATTTCTACCAGTGTATGTATGCATCTGTGATCATGTTGGCTCCAAACACCCCCGCTTGTCCTCCCTCCTCATGGAGACGTCATAGCCCTAGGTGCCCCTCATTTCCTCACCCCAAGGGAACCGGAACCTGTAGGCAGGGGAGTGGGGGTAGGTACCAGTGAGGAGGTGTTTAAGCAGGAGCTCATGTTCCCTCCCAGACTGTATATGGGAGGGGGAGGCCCGATCTTGTACATCACAAATCCTCCAGAGGAAGTGCTTCCCCCCTCTGCCTGTTCCTAGTTCCCTGTCTTGTCACCATGGCAGCAGTTGCCAGGGGCTCCCATGGTTGCTAAGATCTGGGTGTGGGAGGATGCCAGGCCCTGTTGCTAGTAGAAACAGAATCCTGGGAGGCAAGGAAGACTACCCCCATGGCTGCCGGCTCTATGCAGAGACAGCTCTGGCTCTTGGGCTACCCCTTTGCCCAAACTGAACCTATGATTTGTATTGGCAGTGTGATGTGTGAGGAGGGTTTAATATGGAGCTGGGACTTCAATACCTTCTGAGGAGAAAAGGGGTCCTTAGTCTGCCCCCCATGACCACTTTTAAAGAGAGTTTCTGAGAAACTAGAGGCCATCTTATTCTCTTTCTTATCTCCCCTACTGGTCCCCTGAGTGGAATCCATGGTTGGAGTTCTCCAGTCAGTGACTGGCTACTCATCATGTGATGTTTCACTGGGACCTAGGAATGCTGCTTTGAATGCAGACTGTGGCCAAATTGTTAACTTCTCATTTGGTACATGCTTTGTGCTGACATATGAGCATAGGGCTAGTCCCACACAGATTTCCAGCTTTGGCATCTGCTTGAGACACTGACTCTGGTTATAATTTTGGCCAAAGGAATCCCTTGAATCCAGCCTCAGCCTCAGCTTCAGCTTTTATTTCCTAGATATAGTTAAGCCCTAATTTTAATGCTAGACATGTGAACTCATTGTTTCTTTTCACTGACTGAGCACTGATCAGTGATTTAACTTCCTGGTACTTCCTGGCACCTTGAACTAAGCAGAAAAGTGATCATCATATGTAGTTTCTCACTTTGGACGAAATGGCAGTTCTAGTGATGGCCAGCAGAGGGTGCGTAGCATAAGATTCTCAAGGCAAGCTTTCAAGAGCCAACCAGTGAACTAAAGCTAAAGTTTAGTTTTGCTACCTAAACTTTAAAGTCATGTGACTGCAGAGCATACAGAACTATCTTCAGACCAGCTGGGATAAGGGCTGGGAAGGTGCAAGAAGGTGCTTAATGTGTACTGACACCCTTTCCCCCAATGTGGACTGGTATTGTCAAGAGGACTCAGGACCTTACCAGTTTTCACACTTTCAGACTCAAAACTTTTGTGATATGTTTTCACCTTTCATCTATGTTGTTGGATTGAGCACCTCCAGCTGTATATGCTCCACTGCCAAAATCAGCAATCTGCACCACTCACCCCCGCCCCCCCAATCTGCACCACTCACCTCTGTCCTCTCCATCTGCACCACTCACATCTGTCCTCTCCATCTGTACCACTCCACATCTGTCCTCTCAATCTGCACCCGCTCACTTCTGTCCTCTCCATCTGCACTGCTCACATCTGTCTTCTCCATCTGCACGCCCTCACCTCTCCATCTGCACCACTCACCTCTGTCCTCTCCATCTGCACCACTCACCTCTGTCCTCTCCATCTGCACCACTCACATCTGTCCTCTCCATCTGCACCACTCACCTCTGTCCTCTCCATCTGCACCACTCACATCTGTCCTCTCCATCTGCATCGCTCACCTCTGTCTTCTCCATCTGCACTGCTCACATCTGTCCTCTCCATCTGCACCACTCACCTCTGTCCTCTCCATCTGCACCACTCACATCTGTCCTCTCCATCTGCACCACTCACATCTGTCCTCTCCATCTGTACCACTCACATCTGTCCTCTCCATCTGCACCACTCACCTCTGTCCTCTCCATCTGCACCACTCACCTCTGTCCTCTCCATCTGCACCACTCACATCTGTCTTCCTCCACTGCCCTCGCTCACCTCTGTCCTCTCCATCTGTACCACTCACATCTGTCCTCTCCATCTGCATCGCCCCTCTGTCTTCCCATCTGCACCACTCCCCCTGTCCTCTCCCCCCATCTGTACCACTCACATCTGTCCTCCCCATCTGCACCACTCACATCTGTCCCTCCATCTGTACCACTCACCTCTGTCTTCTCCATCTGCACCGCTCCATCTGTCCTCTCCATCTGCACCACTCACCTCTGTCCTCTCCATCTGCACCGCTCACATCTGTCCTCTCCATCTGCACCACTCACATCTGTCCTCTCCATCTGCACCACTCACCTCTGTCC